GGCCCTGTGGGGGGAGCCTCTCAAGGCTCCTGGAAGGCTCACTCAGACCCTTGTGAGGCTCCCTCCACCCCTGCTTGGGGCCAGCAGGGATGAAATCGCCAGCTTCCAGGACCTTTTCTGAGGTTTAAAAGGCTCAGAAAAGGCCCTGGAAGGTCATGATTTCGCCCCCGCTGGCCCCATGGGGGGTGGGGTAAGCCGCACAAGGGTCCTGTAAGGCTCACTCGGACCCTTGCAAGGCTCCCCCCACAGGGCCAGTGGTGGCGAAATTGCCAGCTTTGCTCCATAGGACACACAGACTCCCCCCCCACACACTTTATTGGGTGGGAAAAGTGTGTCTTACAGAGCGAAAAATACAGTAGCTTTAAATTCTCCTCTGATTTCTTGGATCTTGTGGAAGAGTTCTCTGTTTCTTGTTTGTTGTTCTCTTCTATTATTTTGCACTGATTATTGTAATAATCCCTTTATGACAATCACTGAGAAAACTGCATCCAGCATTCTGTTGCTGTTTCTGGCACTTGTACTTCGCTTGTATTGTGAGTTTCACGACTTATCTATTTCTTGCCTTTTAACTACAGGCATATCCTTTTTGCATTCTTCCCTTATATTGTCTCTGGTTTCAGTCAACAGAATTATTTGGCTTATAGCTGACTGACTTTAGTAATACAGATCTGGTGTTCACATGCCTCTGAATTTTTAAGGATTGTTATTTAAATTATATTTTGGTGCTGTGATGATTGTAATGTTCTTCAACTTTAATCTTTTTTCTTTTTCTTTTTTTTTTTTTACATGAATAGTTTGCAGTATGTGCCACGGTTTGCTTCTGTTCTTCTGAGTTTGATGGACCCATGATCTGATTCCACCAAGGGCAGCTTTTTATGTAGCTACATTCACAGGATTAGATTGGGGGATCTGTGTTCCATTCACTGAAGAGTGTTGCTAATGGGAACGTCCTCCCCCCCTGTTCTGGGGGACCTTTCCCCTGCACACTCCATTCAGCAATGTCTGTGTGTGACCTTCACAGGACTGGAGAGACTGCCATAAAAAGGACAATCCCAATTACACTTGCCTAAATCTGGATTTAGGCCATTATCACATTACCCCTTGGAGCTGTTATAACACAGTGCTCATGACAATAGAGACTACAGATGAAGTTTTGTTGTAATGCATAAAGACATGTTATGCCTCTGTGGATGTAGTAGACCTTACAATAATGGTGTTCTGTTTTCCCAATTCGAAGCCTTTCCTCAGGTTTTTGTTCTCTTTTCCCAGCCCTTCTTAGACATTCCTATATCTATTCTTTCTGTTCTTCTTCAGCCACTGCACTTTCTCTGAGATCTCATATCACCAAAGCGGTCCTAAGTCTTCTGTTCTAGCAAAACAGAAAGTTGTCTTCTCAGACAAACTGGTCTAGGAAGTTCCTTGAGAAGGGAATTGGCATCAGGGGCTTTATTGCCTTATCCTAGTTTGGGAGAAATTCAGGCCACGTATTTCTTAGAAAGCAGCCACTCCACAACACTTAAATTATGGCCAATGTTGCAAGCTAATATTCCATCATATTTTGATAGACGGGAAAGTACAAAGAAACCTGGTCCTCTCCCAGCCCTGCTTTTCTATCATTCCCCCTAATCCTCAATGTTAACAATTACTGAGCCTCAGTGATGCCCTCTTTTTCCAGAAAACCTGACATGGGCTGTTTCTTTTTCATCCTTGACTGTTGGCAACTGGTTTTTATAAAGAATTGGTCAGTGGGACATTTATGTCTGAAACCTACTTAGTTAGTGAAATTCTTAATTAGAAGACATATATTTACCTGTTTAAAACATATATTTCTCTGCTTTCAGCCTCTACACGAGTATTGTGTAATGTATAAATGCATCAAATTAACATTGGTGTATGGCAACATAATAAATTAACTTGTAGGTTATGTGACACGTGACTTTAAAATATGCTGTCTATTGCTATGTAGCAGACAGCCTATGCTTGCCCTATTGTATTCAGCAAGAAGTTGGCAAGTGTGTCACTCAAAAGGCTGTTTAATATTCCACGAAGAGCCTTCTGTTATGCTGAACTTTGCAGTCAACCATGTTCTGGGAAATTGTGTCTCTTTTGATTGCTAGATTTCATTGAATCCTTCTGCTCTCCTTCTATACCACTGTTCACAGTGGTATGCTCACATGTTGCATTCTTAAGTGTATGAATGTCATAGCCCCGTAGCCTGCTGCCAGTAAAGGAGTGCAAGAAGGAGGAAAGATATTAAGAGCATCAACATGAGGGAATTAATAATACTTGGATTGTTCTTTCTTTGTGCTACAGGCAAAAGTGACTTTGAAGAATCCATCAATAAAAAGAAGAATAGATGAGGCCTTCGTTTCTGCAAAGAAAAGTATGTTTCTTAAGGAGAAAGTGTAGCTTCACTCTTAAAGGATTAGTAACTGGTTTCATAGTTGTATTGTGAATAAATGATTAATACTCCACATCACACACACACTCAAAAAACCCAAACAAATATTTTGCAATCTAATCTTTGCATTTTTAATTAGAAGCAAGTCTCATGGAGTTCAGTGGGTCTTATTCCCAAAAAAGTGTTCCTAGGATTACAGTTTAAGGCAGCAAATGTTTGGAAGCTTTATGAACTTTGGGCTTTTCCTTCTGAAATCTATTTGGGCTTCCCTCCCAAAGAGGAGGAAAACATTTCAAAGCAAGTGCCTTTTTAGGATTGTTGAACCCCTGCCACAGTTCTCAAAATCTTTGAGAAAAGACAGAATACAGTGAAAATTGGTCTTTTCAATTTTCTCTTACATATGTATCATGAGCATACGTATAAAGTATTAAATAGAGAGGAAGGATATAGTGTCTTTCATCTACACACAAGCATAAGAGTTGGCAACTTGTGGTGTCCTGGATGTTGCTGGATTGCAAGTCCCATCATCCCTCATCATGAGCTACCTCGGCTAGCAGTGATTGGAGATGTTACCAACTAATATTTGTCCACTTTCTTGGGACTTATTTTGCCATGTGTAGTTGAAGGAGATAGCCCACAAGAATCTTTTTACCTGAAGGGAAAGGTAATAACAAAGAGCTTCTATGTTGCTTTATTTCCTGACACCAAAAAAATGTATCGGTTTTAAGGGGACAGAACTTGCAGTGTCTAGGTAGGGTAAACCTTGGAAACAACCTCTAGAACCACAATAAGCTAACTGGTTGGAAAGAAAAGCATATGAGATCTTGTTCGCTCAAAGCCAATTTGTTCTTCAAATCCATTAGTGATATCGCTAGCATATTGGGTAATTGGAGAAAGCTCAGTAAACTGACATTTAGCCTCCACAAAGCTAGGGATCCTGTGGGCCTGTGGAAGTGGCTGAACTTCATTTCCCATCAGTCCTAACAAATTTGGCCAATGGTGTGGTACAATGGGAGTAGTGGTGCACAAATATGGGGGGGGGCAATATATTCCCACTCTTGTGCTAGCATTTCCAAGTACACAACCTTGGAAACAACCTCTAGAACCACAATAAGCTAACTGGTTGGAAAGAAAAGCATATGAGATCTTGTTCGCTCAAAGCCAATTTGTTCTTCAAATCCATTAGTGATATCGCTAGCATATTGGGTAATTGGAGAAAGCTCAGTAAACTGACATTTAGCCTCCACAAAGCTAGGGATCCTGTGGGCCTGTGGAAGTGGCTGAACTTCATTTCCCATCAGTCCTAACAAATTTGGCCAATGGTGTGGTACAATGGGAGTAGTGGTGCACAAATATGGGGGGGGGCAATATATTCCCACTCTTGTGCTAGCATTTCCAAGTAGTGCATTTTGGAAACCCTACAGAGCTGCTCTTGCTAGTGAGCTATATGGATCAATGATATGAATCACTATAAGCTAGCTTCCTATGTTCCCATTGATATTTTATTCTAGAATGACTTTGGAATCCAAAAACATGAGTATGAAGTATTGGTGCGTCTCAAAAAGATTATGGAAAGTTAGAGCTGCATTTTTCATTCAGAGTTTTGTCTTCTTTTTATCTAATTATGAAGCAGGGTTTGCAGTTTGTTGTATATTTAAAAGTTCCTGCATTTCTCTCCTTTTTTAGATTTTCAGTTACAACAAGAAAGCCAGCAGGATGCTTATTACTTAAAATGTCTGGAAAGCCTTGTGCAACTTCTTAGCAGTTAACAGATGCTACGTAAACCATCAGAGTGTTACATAAGTGTTTTTTTTCTGAATGACATAAGAACCCAAATGGACTTTTAAATCTGACATTTGTAAGAAAAATGCTAATTATTTGGATTAATGATATAAGATTGTGTACCAAAGAATTCACAGTAAGTATGCTTGTGTCTCTGGAAAACAATTCCAGAGTAATATATGAAAGGAAGTATAGAAGGAATAAATGTTTAATTATGCCAATTGTAATTATGTTTAAAAAATCATGTTTGTATTTGTAATAAAAATGTTAACAAAAATGTGTGTGTAGGCATCCTTCATCAAGAGACTATGATAATGTGCTCTGAATAGAGGTCTTGGAACATTGTCTAGCGTGGCTGGGAAGGCCAATTCAAGAGTGACAATCGCTTCCACACTGAAGACAAATACAGTCTGTCCCCTGTCCAGCTCCCTGATTTTGCTGGTTTCGGAACTGCCTCTTTGCCTCGGCCTGCTGAACAAGTGTCTCTTCAAAATGGGAGAGGCCATGATGCACCGCCTGCCTCCAGGCTGAACACTCAGATGTCAATGTTTCCCATCTGTTGAGGTCCATTCCTAAGGCCTTCAGATCCCACTTGCAGATATCCTTGTATCACAGCTGGGGTCTCCCTCTGGGGTGCTTTCCTTGCACTAATTCTCCATACAGGAGATCATTTGGAATCCGACCATCAACCATTCTCACGACATTGCCGAGCCAATATAGACTTTGCTGTTTCAGTACTGTATACATGCTAAAAATTCCAGCTCATTCTAGGACTACTCTGTTTGGAACTTCGTCCTGCCAGGTGATACCAAAAATGCATTGGGGACAACGCGCATGGAACGTGTTCAACTTCCTGTCCTGCCATGCACAAAGTTTCCAGGACTCGCTGCAGTACAGAAGTGTGCTCAGGACACAGGCTGTACATACCTGGATCTTGGTATATGCCGTCAGCTTCTTATTAAGCCATACTCTCTTTGTAAGTCTACAGAACATGGTAGCTGCTTTACCAATGCATTTATCCAGCTCGACATCTAGGGAGAGAGTGTCAGAGATCGTTGAGGCAAGGTACACAAAATCATGAACAACCTCCAGTTCTTGTGTCGAAATGGTAATAGAGGTCATCCCTGCTAACCAAATCAAAGGCCTTTGTGACATCTATGAAGGCCACAAAGATTGGCTGTCGTTCCCTACATTTCTCCTGCAATTGTCTGAGGGAAAATACCATGTCAGTGGTGGATCTCTTAGCTTAAAATCCGCACTGTGATTCTGGATAGACTCTGTCTGCAAGCCCCTGGAGTCTCATCAGCATAACACAGGCAAGCAGCTTCCCTACAATGCTGAGAAGAGAGATGCCACAGTAGTTATTGCAGTCGCCGCTGTCGCCTTCTTGTACAATGTGACAATGTTTGCACCCGCTGTCGCCTTTCTTCTTGTACGATGTGACAATGTTTGCACCCTTTGTATCCTGTGGTACTCCACCTTCCCTCCAGCAAAGAGGGGACTTTGGTCCTTCACATATTTTGAATAACCCCCAGAAGCACAACAAGACAAACTTTTAACTAATTGGGCAGGTTTTGATTTGTGTGGTGGACACTATTTTTATTTTATGTGTGTTTTCAATGTGTTTTAAGGGATTTAAAAGTTTTAATACATTGTTTTTATACTGTTACATGTTTAATTGGTATGTGTGTGTGTTATCATTGTGGTTCTAGTCAGTTTGTTTTTCAATAACTTGTGAGCTGCTTTGAATCTCCTAATTGGGAGAAAGGTGCCATACAAATGAAAACAAAATAAAATAAAATAGCATGGCCAGTGGCAAGAGATCATGGGAGCTATTATCGAAAACATTCTGGGGTGGTGGTGGTTCTAGATGTTTACAGCCTTGGTTGTAGCACCCATACAGAGAGTAGTGTGGGTGCTGTCCCTACAGTGACCCAAGTTAGAAGTGAAAGGAGAAGGTGCTGCTTAACACCACTGCATTCAAACATTATAGCCGGTGCTTTGTGATTTTCTCCAAGTGTTTCTTTGTTATGCTTGTTAGTGTGTAGTGAAATACTTTTAAGAGCTCCATCTGTTACCTTCTGCATAGAGAATTAATCCCTACCCTATGCAGAACACAGCAAAAGAGATTTGTTGTAAGTGAGCATTATACAAAGAACGTATTGTTTAGTATCTTTGTTTATGTAGTGTAGACAGTGATGCCTAAGCATTACTTTTCTATTTGTTACTCCCTTCCATTTTTGCATGAGCAAAAATTAGAGGTGCCATAATTCTCATATACGTAGGGTTTACAATAAAGACAGAGTCAATATGGTGTTTGCTATTGCCAGGGCTCCTAAATTAAGAAAGAAAGAATGATGCTACTGTTTAGTAGGAAGAAGAAAGCTACATTCTGTAGGTTGAGGAAGTTTCCGTGCATAGTGGAAATAACAAGCAATGCCTGCGGCTTGCTCGGTGAAACCACAGATCTGAAGATAATCTGTCTACCTGTGACTGCATGAGAATGAATAGCAACTGTTTCTTATAGAAAGGAAAAACGTTATAGTAAAGTTTCACAGCAACTAAACAGCAGACAAATATCACATAAGGTCGTAAAGGTACGATGCTGTTCCCCATCATCCTGTTTGCATTCATTGATAACATCAGTATTTGTATGTTCATAATTCCTAGAAGGTTGGTTCCCAGAGGCAAAATACATCTGGTTACTTAATTCAGCATGTTCCTGTGAGAAGGATCTCATGAACAAATGCCATCACTTTTTGGCAGAACATGGAACAGTTATTTGAGTGTGGGGGGGTGGATTACTGTATCTTGGACTTTACGTTTCTTCAATAGCCAAAAGAAAAAAAGAAAAGCTTCAATTTTTTTTCAGAAGTCTTTCAGAACATGGAAATGTAACCTTTTTGGTTTCTAGTTCCCAGAATCCTCCAGAGCTGTAATATCCTGGACAATCTGAAAGTGGTAGTTGGAAAAAACACAAAACGTTTCCAACTGCTTCTTGAAGTCCATGTCATTACAGATGCCACACTGGCTGTCTTATGAAAAGCCCCGATGCATATAAGCACTTCTTTTTCCCAGACTATACAAACAAGATTGTGGTTGAATGAGCTGCTTTGTAACTATGGGAACAAATCTCTTCAACAAAATGAACTGAACACATAAAACCCTTGATAACAGTGACCCATGAAAATATGTTGGCTTTCTGACTGAGCAAAGGAGCCAAAAGGAGTGCTCTCACGTCCAAAGTCCTTGCCTGCAGAAGCACAACATAGATATTTTAGTGAAGCAGAAGACATCTAGCTCTAGTGAAGGGATGAGAAACCACTTGAGTTACCCGTTCATGCTGACTGAGTTCCTAATTAGAAAATAGGGATGTGAATTAATTAAAAACACACACACACACTGCTGGTGACATTAGAAGCTCCTCAGTCTCCCTGTCTCACTCTCACCAATGGTGGCCCCTGTTTCACCCAGTAATCTTGCCAGAGACTGTGGTGCAGACTTGCATGCCAGCAGGATTGGCTAGCAGATGAGAAAAGGGCTTGCTTGAAGCCATGGAAAAATTGCCTAAGACATCCGCAAGTTGGGTTTCTCCTAAGACAGGAAGATGTCCTAAGAAGCAGGAGTGGAAGAACTAAATAAGGATGACAGTGTTGCTCCAAGTCAGAGTTAGAACTGGTTAACTTCTACTCCCCAACCTGCCTGGCAAGTGTGGGATTTTAATGCCAGCCATCCTCCTATGGTCTCCTTTCTTACAATGAGTAACTAGATTGTGGCAACATGATATATAAGTATATGGCAGCCAGACATTTCAGACCTTCAGCTACCATGTAATATCAAAACGAACCATTGAATAGCTCAGTAGTTTAGGAATGTGGCTGTGCAGCCAGATGTTGGGAGTTCCGTTCCCCACCGTGGACCCCTGACAGGGGCTGGACTTAATGATTCCTAGGGCCCTTCCAGCTCTGCAGTTGCAAGATGATGATGATGATTTCTTACTGACAAGCATAATAGCTAGAGATAAGATAAGCAAGTGCTATAGAACAGGACTGAAGAAATACCTGTACAAGGTTTTACTATTCTATGTTCACTTTAAACTTTCAACATTCTTATTGCTTTCTAACTGTGTGACTAGTTGTTTTCTCACTATCTGCTGGGTAATGTGACTCCTGAAACACAATATTTTGCATCAAAGAAGAATCAAGAGTATACATTTACATGCAAATGTCTGTTTGATATAATCTATGAACACTTTGCTATTTGGGCAGGGATGGGGTCTGAGTCAATAGCAAAATGCCTTTTTATTGTGATGATTGTGACTGGGAGGTATTAGGACACTGCTGTAAAAGCATGGTGTGTGCCTTTTTGCTTTGATTGTGAAAACAAAACAGAGGGTAAAAATGTAATTTCCAAAAATTACGCATATCCACAGTTGTCCCTGAGTGAACAACTCTTTCTGCACAAAATGTTACAAAGATGTTGAACTTCATAGGAATATGTTTAATGTCCTTTGGTTGGGCAAGTCTTCTGTCAAATTATAAACTGACTGCAGTTTCTTAAAAAGGTAAGAGGTACATCTTGAACAACAAATAGATGTTGTATCTCTTTGAAATGTCTGCAGCCTCCCGTCAGGACTCATTGTCAGGTTTAATCAGACATTGCAGAGAGAAATATAAAGCATGGGTGATTATCTGACAAATTAAAATACAGATGAGAAAATAAGGGAAAGAAATGCAACAACTGAGTGCTCATGCTGCTTCTGCCTCCAGAACATTCTACTGAGCCAATCCAACTCTTTAAATCAAAATAAAGATGTATTTTTCATTGAGGTGTGTTGTCAAGTTTAATTTATGTTGGAAAAGTGCTTTGCAGCCCTCAGATATGCAAAAGTGTGTTATTTTTTTCAGGCAGTTAATAGCTGTCGCTACCATCCCATCTGGAAAGAGGGTGTCACTGTGGTGAATAGGAAACATTAAAATTCATATAGCAGTTTTAGATTAAATACTATTAAACATTGCATGCTACCCTTCGACAACTCCTACTATCATGGTTTATCAAAACTGAAAACTATCTTCCTTACTGTTAATCCCATTTCACAGAGAGGAAAGACAGGCTGAGGATCACTAAGCTGGCCATTGCTACTTGATGTCTCAGTTAAGTCAGGATTTCAGATTTATCTCCTATATCCACAACTACTACTTTTTAACCTTAATAACATGGTGGTTTGAAATAGGAGGCTGATTTAGGACTATAATGAAGATTGCATTTAACGCAGTTCTCATAGTGAATTGGCTTAGGCCGAAAATAAATTAATATTGGGAGGTGGGGTGGAGAAGGCATAAGCACACCTAATGTAAGTTAGGGCAGCTATTGCAAACTTCTAGCCTAAAAGCTCTGAGTCACTTCAGATTCCATTGTGCCACAACAGATGATGTACTGTCCATACCATCAAATGTTGATCCACCTGCTTGAGAAAAATCCCTATCCGTTGACCATGGCCTGTGTACCTGAGAATGAATTAGAACTAGGAACCAGTTCGATTTCTATGTCTTTTCCAGTCACATGCAATGAGCTTGTAGCAGAACACTACCTAATTAGCCATTGCTCTTACTACACCAGTGTGGGACATGGTGGCGCTGCGGGCTAAACTGCAGAAGCCTGTGCTGCAGGGTCAGAAGACCAAGCAGTCGTAAGATCGAATCCGCGCGACAGAGTGAGCGCCCGTCGCTTGTCCCAGCTCCCGCCAACCTAGCGGTTCGAAAGCATGGAAATGCAAGTAGATAAATAGGGACCACCTCGGTGGGAAGGTAACAGCATTCCGTTTCTAAGTTGCACTGGCCATGTGACCATGGAAGATTGTCTTCGGACAAAAACACTGGCTCTATGGCTTGGAAACGGGGATGAGCACCGCCCCCTAGAGTCGAACATGACTGGACAAAAATTGTCAAGGGGAACCTTTACCTTTACCTTACTACACCAAAACACCACTTGTGCAGTAGAGCTACACCCAATGGGATCAAGCAAGGGCTAGTTGAATAATATCACTAATAGTATTGAAATTCTTGCCATTTTCCTATATTGGCTTTTGTAACACAGCTCTCAGAATGGCCAGTGGTGGAAGATCATTGCATCCTATTAACTGGGCACAATTTTGTAAAATAAGAAACCCATTACACACTGTACACAACTATTATAGATTATTCTTATCTGCAAGTCCAGACAAAATGTGGCAAACAGCTATTCAGAGGAACGGGCAGATGCTCAGATAAGGAGAGGAAATGTCTGCTGTCTCGTCTTTGTCCAAAAGTGGGAATTGTGCGGCATGCACATGGAGTACTATAAACTCCAAATCGCTTGAATAATCTAAGCAATTGGATATTTGAGGAAAGGGGTTAATCAACATTAGGCTAAACCCCTCATTACTGCAACACTGCTTTCTATGAAGTTTCTAAAGAAAAAAAGGGGGGGGAGATTGCAACGCTCAGCCTGAAACAGCCCTCTGTAAAGATTTTGGTTTTAAGTCCAATGACGTTCTTGCTTGCTCACTTGAGACAGTATTTTTAGGCTTTATTGATCTGACTAAATTGATGAAGGCAAATTGAATTAGTATACCTTTTACTCTACTAGAGTGGCAAGCCACCCCACTTAGTAAGACATTGGAATGGTTTATTAGGAGGTCTGGGGTAGGGAATGTTTTCATGACAAGGAAGTCTAACATATCTATTTATGATTTGGGTTTGGTGTTTGTTTGCTTTTTTTTTTTTTTTGTCTTAATACAAGCCGCTCAGCCCAGAGGCTCTACAGAATTCTGGGCAAATAACTCAGCTTAATTTTATCTCACATGGTTGCTAAGAGATATAGTGGACATAAAGCTCTGTATATCAGCACGCCCAGGACCCTGTCAAGTACGCCAAAAAAGTAGAAGAATCTGGAAGATTGGAGCAAGCTTCAAATATCGTTGATGGGAAGAATTGCAACGATAAAAATGATGATTTTGCCTAAACTATTATTCCTTTTCCAAAATCTACCAATACTTATGAACTTTAAATACTTTAAAGAACTGGATCGCCTGACAACTAAATTTATATGGAATACTAAGAAACCAAGAATAAAACTTAGGCTATTACAGGATTTGAAAGAAAGGAGTGGTGTAGGGCTCCCAAATTGGTTATTATACTATAAGGCATGTGCAATGACATGGATAAAAGAATGGATAACCCTGGTAAATCAAAGATTATTGAAATTAGAGGGGTATGATTTAAGTATGGGGTGGCACGCATATGTGTGGTATGGGAAAGATAAGGAACAATCTCATTTTACGGAACATATTGTAAGGAAAGCTTTGGGTCTAGTCTGGTATAAATTTCGAGCACAAACATACAAAAAAATCCCACTGTGGGTAGCCCCCATAGAGGCATTTTCGATGAAAGTGATGAATCAGAAAGGGATGTTGTTAAATTACAAAGAATTGCTTAATAGAGAACAAAAGCTAAAAAGCAAACAAGAATTAGAGGAACTAGGGGTGGCAACAGACTGGTGGTCGCTGAACAAACTAGAATCAAGATACAGAAAAGATAGAATTTTGGGCTTTTTTGAAGGTGAAGTACAGGTAGATAAACTCTGGATCCACTCTGATGAGAAAATAATAAAGAAAATGTATACATATCTATTGGAATATGAAATGGAGGATGAGAGGGTGAAGGAGACAATGGTAAGATGGGCAAGGGATTTTGGTTATAATATTGACATTGATCACTGGACAATGATGTGGAAAGACTGTTATAAAATGATTAAGCCAGTTAATTTAAGAGAAAATACCCTCAAAATGTTTTATAGATGGCATCACACTCCCATAAAGCTGGCAAAAATGTCAGAAGGAAGCAGCAATATCTGCTGGAAATGTAAAAAAAAAAGGGATCTTATTACCATATGTGGTGGTCATGTGAAAAAGCCAGGGCCTACTGGTCACAGTTGTGGGATATGATACAGGGAATTATTCAAAGGAAACTAAATTTTAAACCTGAAATAGCTTTGTTAAGCATTATGCCAGAGATTACTGATAAGAAAGTTAAATATTGCTTGATGTATATATTGATAGCAGCTAGAACTCTCTGGGCCCAAAAATGGAAAAGTGAGGAGGTACCTACAATGGAGGAATACCTGAAGAAGCTGTTGGACATTATAGAACTGGACACACTATCAGAAGCACTACGAGATCAACCAAGAGACTATGCAAAACAAAGCTGGAACTTAATATATGTTTGGGCCCAGGGTCAGATATGAAGATAGGATAATGTGGTTGGTGAAGTGTGTTGGTTTTTTTTTCTTTTTCTTCGTATTTTTTGTTTTTCCCTCAGCTGTGTTTGTTTATGTTTTAATGCTCTCTGAAATTTGGGAAAGTTGATCTATATCGAGGTCTGAACCCTTGTCCTCAAAGGGGGGAGGGTGTGGGGTAGTTTGTAATCCAAATTAATAATAATAATAATAAAAGGGGGGGAAAAAGTACCCCAAAAAAGTGATGGGACTCTGCTGTCAGAAGCTTTGGGTCTTAAATTTAACGTGGAAGGACAAACAATGGAAGAGAAGGAAAATGGAGTCAAGAGTGCATTCACATAGTTGATTTTATTTAAACGAAATCCAAGCTAAGAAGTTATGCCAAATGTTGAAAGGTATTGAAGCCACATATGAAAATGCTTCTGAGCAATTGAGATGAATAGAAAATTAATTTTGTTAAGTCTTGTGCACTAGGATGGAACATTTTAGTCCCTCAGAACCATATTTTATTGAAGTGACAGAGAACTAGACCTACAAGCGGCCATTTTACAATAATGCTGTCTCATGCCATGTACATTGTGTGGGGGATAGGGTTATAGACAAAAAAACAGCTCTACACAAATGTGCACAAAGGAATCTGTTGTTTTCTGTCAAATCTACTGTGATATGTTGTTATTGTTGTTGCTCTAGCATTTTTTTATGCAATGAGAGAGAAAAAGCAAACAAGTGAAAAAGTCTTGCACACTCTCTGTCTAAGTAAACCATGATAGTGAGAAGCAGAAATGGATTACTCCAGTTATGAGTAAGGAGGTCTTTCTTGTTAGGCAGAAGAGGCATTTAAATTCTCATGGGGCTCAGGAGACACAATAGGTGTTCAAAATGTATCTGTGTCTTTAATACTTTATTTGGTATAGGCTCTTTAAATACTGTGGTTCCCCACAGAGTCAATAACATCTGGTTGCTAGTTCACTGCAGCAAGATAAAAATACTATCAAGCGCCTCATGTGGCCAGGAAATAGCAGAAACCTTCAAGACTTTCTAACACATGTCGCTATAGCATTGTTGGAAATGGATTGCCTTGCTTTCCTCACTGTCGCTGTGCTATTGTCCTGTACAAGTAAGACAAGTTTCTTATGTGACATATTATGTCTGATATTATTTCCTAACTGCTAATCCAACATTTACTTATTTGGCAATAAGTTCCATAGGCATAAATTACTCTCATTTATATCTACTTACTTATTCATACTTAATTTATCTAGGGTAAACGTACAAATATTTCTCTAGTTATTGTTTCTCTTAGAAAGCCATTTTCTGTTGTTTTTTTATGCAGAATAAATTGCACTGTAGTCAGAGCAGGTTGCTCCCAGGTGGAAGTGTATAGGATTGCAGTCTAAATTGTACTTTAAAAAAATGATGATGTCACATTTGGAAGCACTTTTGGTCTTGTATTGTAAGGGATCTTAGTTGGAAGTATTTTGCTCAGACAGTAGATAATGCAGGTGTTGTGTATGTGTATTTGTTGTTTAGTGTTTCAAAGAAGCCACTGCTCTTCTTTTGCTTTAGGCTGTATTTTTGTCCCATTGGAAGGAAAACATGTGGATTCTACAATGAAACTTGCCAGAGATATGACTCTTGAATGTGTCTATCCAAAGATTGGAAGAATAATCCAGATGTCGTGGCGTAAGGAAAATAACAGCAGCAAAGAGAAGATTGCAGTCTTCAGATTGCCTTATGACCTGTCTATTGCAAATGGATATAAGACTAGAGTCCGCATTAGTAACAATACCACAAACAACAAGTCCCTGATTTTTAACAATGCTGATGAGGAAGATACAGGGTTTTATCTATGTTCCTTTCACGCATTTCCACATGGAATCTGGGAAAAGCGAATACAGGTTGTGCAATCAGGTAAGGTAATTGTTTTTACCATTGTTTTAACATTATTGGTAATCTGTCAAGAAAAGCTGATACCCATCGGCGATGCAAGTCATACCTGAGGCAATGCTGTTTCCAAGGCAAACCAAACATTCCATGGCAACCATACATGCTTCTTTCTCTTTTGCACAATGTCCTTAGAGGTAGAATTTTGAATGCGATATCCTGAGCATGTTGCTCTCCTCTGACTTTGGAAGCTAAACAGGGCTGGGATTCATTAGGACATGAATGGGAAATCATCAAGGATCTCTAAATAGGGCTAGGAAATAACCGTGTCAGAACTCTAGAAAGCTGCTGCCAGTCAGTGTTAATAATAATATGCTAGTTGGACCCATTGCCTGACTTGTTGTGAGGCAGCCTCTTGTGTGCCTTTGAGAAGAGAAAGGCAGCTTAGTTGCATTTTTAGTTATTCATTTCTCACATTTCTACCCACAAAATGGGTAGAACAGACAAGACTAAAACATGAAAAACTGGTGTGAAGCTGGAAAACACATCGAGAAAAAGAAACAGCCACCACTTCTACCAATAACCCAGTTTACATCCTAAATGGCTGTCAGAAAAAAGATAGCAGTCTTTAAGGGGCCATAACATTTCCGTCTTCTTTATTTTTTAATTTTTCTTTTGATTTTTCCTGAGAGCTGAAAATAAAAACACCCTTGCCTACTGGTGATAGAACAACACAGAGGGAACAGGCTAGATTCCCTCAGCAGAGAGTTCCAAAGCTGGGAAGCAGCTAAACCCTCTTTGACACCCACTCTCTGTGCGTCCAAATACCTAGTTGAACAAAATGGTCTCCTCTTCATTCTAGTTAGTTAAGGATTTGTATCCCCCCCCCCCCC